CCGGCGGGCGGGCCGCCGCCGGCCCCGGCGGCCACACGCAGGCCCGGAACCCATGCACAAGCTCAGGCCCGGTGGCCACGCGCAGGCCCAGTGGCCACGAGCAGGCCCAGTGGCCACGAGCAGGCCCCGGGGGCCACGCACAGGCCCGGCGGTCACGCTCAAGCCCAGTGACCATGCGCAGGCCTGGCAACCACGCACAGGCGCAGGCCCAGGGGCCACGCGCTGGCCCGGCAGCCATGCATAGGCGCAGGCCCGGAGGCCACACGCCAGCCCTATGCTCTAAGACTATAGAAAACACAGAATTGTATTGATTGTAGGGTGTCATTTGCTGTTAACTCTCAAGAGTGCTCCATGGAAGACCTATGTGATCAAATCTTGTCAGGCCAATGCACTGAGGCATTGTGTACTCTTGAAAATTATTACTAATGCTAATTACATCATTTAATGTGTCTATTCTCTTTGCTTTAGCAACCGAGAAGCCCAGGATTAAATTTTAGTAAAATTGTACTATATTTTAACTTTCTTTTAGTCTCAGTATGGGCCTGGCAGTTCTCTTTCTAGGCAATCTCTTTAGAATTTTGGAAGCTTCCACATGGAAGACTGAGTCATTCTTTCCTTGACTTGTTTGGCAATTGAAGTCATTTAGCATAGAGCCAAAAGAAGTCTGATGAGCCCCTGTCTTGGCTCTCCCAAATAAACAAGAATTGGTTACATCTTGAGGCAAGCAGGCTAGCCTATTGTACGCCATGTCAATCAGACGGTCATTGGCTAAAGCCCCCTTTTAGGTACGGGAGGGGACGGGGGATTGGCAGTGAGGTAGCCTGTTCAACTGTGGGAATATCCATGACCCATGAGCAGCTATGACCATGAGACGTGACCAACACTAACAGAAGCTAGGGAATAGGTGCACCAATCTGGTAAAGGGACCTGGGCTAAGAACCAAGAGCATCCACAGCAATCCCTTAAACGTTTTCCATGTAGCTGCACATTCCATCCATTTGGTCAACCACTGTTGACTTCTTTAGTATTAGTAGTAGTATATATTGAGTACTTATTATTTGCCAGAAATTTTGCTAAGCACTCACCTGCATCATTTCACTTAATCCTCACAACCACCCTCTTCCATGATTATTCTAGTTTTCCTATGAGGAGACTAAGCCTGAGAGGTGAAATAACTTGCCAAGACTCTCAGTTTGCAGGAAGCTGAACTGATTTCAATGTAGGTCTCTCTGACTCCAGAACCTTAGTTGTTAATCATTATACTACATTGCCTTTCACATAAACATATGAATGTAGTTACATATTCAACCATAACCATGTTTTCCTTCCCTTGATCATTTGAAATGGAGTATTGTATCACAATAGACACTAGCTCCCCCTTGTCCACAAAAAACTATATGTCATTCCCCATTTAGAAAACATAAGGGGATTCAACCATCTCAACAATATGGGATTTTCATATGATAATACCTCATGCAATTAATATCAACACTTATAAAAATAATTTTATAAAAAAATCTTATAATGATAGATAACATGCTTTAATGCCATTGCTGACAGGGAGAAAAATGTTAAATCCATGAATTCAAATGTTACGAAATTTTCCTAAGTTAAACTTCAGTTCTTAACGAAAATAATGTCTGAGATGTGTGTCCTTGAATGAAACTTAAAATTGCAAATTGCAGTACATGCTCATAAAACACAAATATTTACTTACTGAACACAGATAAAATTGTATTTATTGATGTTCTTGATTATGAAATCAAAATTTGAAGTCAGAAAATATATCAGTTACTGGAAATATAAACAGGGTTCATATATAAACTTTTCTACTCAAATATAAATCTTATCAGTCCTCTTCATGTCATTATTGATAGGAACACATTATTCTAATATATATGTTCTAATATATATGTTCATATTGTCAGTGTCCCTAACTTATACAGATTCAATTTACATTTATCACATATAGATCAAACTCCCAAAACAACTGTCCATGTGGAGCTTCCTTTTCTTCCCACTTCCTCCACATTAACATTGGCCAGAAGCTGCCATCTCTTATCCCATTTATCACATCAGCCATGTGCCTGATGTGGTGTCTGATGATAGAACATCAATGCAAAAAGAGCAGTAGGGGGAGGCAGCAAGTGGCTTGGAGGTTAAGGTGGCTGGATCTCACATAGCCAAATGTACAGTTCAACTCTCAGATCCAGCCTCATGAAAAACACACTGAAAAAAACACACATGAAAAAAACAGATGTATGCATGAACAAAATCCCAGGAGGAGAATGGAGAAGAAAGGATTGAGGCTTGGACATCCCCCCTGATGGTGATTTCTCATTTTCCCTCTCTGTTTCTCTGTCTCTAGCAAGAGCATGCACCCTACAGTAAAAACTTTAAAAATAAAAAAGAGAGAGAGAAGTAGATGAAGAATCAAAATGAAAAGGATGAGAAGGAACACCAACAGTTGAATGTAATCTGAAAGTACCGGAGTAGCCACAAGGAAGAAGGGGATCACTCTGTTTTATCTCTCTCACCTTCCTCACTGCACCACATTCACTCCTTCTGATGTTCATTGTACCTCTGTACTTCCTTTGCCACCTCCAAAGGGCCTTCCTCCTCATGGTCTTTCCTGTCCTCCATCTTTGCCCTCCTCTCATGCCAGTTTTTGCTTAGCTTTTCCCTGAGCCAAGGTATTATCATTAAAACCAGAAGTGAACTGTTTGTTAGTTGCTGCTGTCACTGCTCAGCATGTGAAGGCACTCTGCCCTATGAGCAGGAGAAGCAAGATACCTTACTCCAAATGAAATTCTAAAACCTACTTCATGGAGAAGCATTCTTATACATGGTGGATAGGTTCTACCTTCCTATTAACATCATTACTCTTCAGACATATTTGGGAATTAACACTGGAATCTGGTCATCAAAGACGTTGTTTCTACAGGGAAATGATTTCAAGAATGTCTGTGTCCAGTGCACTCTCTTACCCTCCAAAATAACTATTTCACACCTTCTCTCTCTCTTCAAATGCCCTCCTCTCCAAAAACCCAACCTCATTCTCAGCCAATCGCTTTGTTTCTGAGTTCAATGAAAATACAAATGATCAGAAAGTAGATCTTTATTTTACCACTGCCAAATTCATCAACTTACTTCCATTGCTACCTAAGCATTCTGTCTTTTTTTTTCTGTTCTTGTTTTTGCTACAATCTAAAGTCATTCTTCCTTGCTTGCTCAAAGTCTTTCTGAACTTAAAAACTAACTGAATAACCAAATAAACCTGCTATAGCTTTCAGCTCTAATCTCTTACTTCTAAAGTTCTTAGAAGCACTGCCAATCCTTTCTTCCTTTACCTTTCTTACATTTCAGTCTCTCCTGAATAGTCCCCACTTAGACTTTCGTTCCCACTGGTTTATTGAAGCAATACTTGTCAAGACCATCGACAACCTCTGCGTTGCCAAATCAATTGCTCACTCCCTTCTTTCAAAACAATATTTGGCTTGGCTTTCAAAATACCATGTTTATTCTCTTCTTTCTGACAGTTTTTTTTTTTTCCTATGCTTATGTTTCTTCTTTTATCCTAGGGTTCATTCTCAGGATGCATTATGTTTCAATTGCATACCTCCTTTTCCCTGGAGAGAGAGCTAGAGAGACTGAGACAGTCAGAGGGAAAGTGAGAAATCTTCCCCTGAGGGGGATGACCATGCTGCAGTCCCTCTCCTCCATTCTCCTTGGGCATGCACACACATACACCCAGCATGAGTCTCAAGCCACCGGGTCTGGGACTCAAACTGTGGTCAACCATGTGGGAGTCCAGTGACGTAACTGCTATGCCATCTACTGGCCTCCTATTTCATTCAGTCTTATGCTTTTAAATAGTAACTCTGAACTAATGACCCAAATATTTGTGCATGTAACCTCATTTAGTTAGTGACCTACCAGAAACATCTTGTTTGAGATCCTATAGGTCTCTCAAGGTTAAATCCTAATCAGAGCTCATAACTTCTCTCCCCAACTCCCATTCCTGGTCTTTCCCACCTCAGCAAATTTTATGACCTTCCATCCATCAGCTCAGGCTGAAAACACTTCAGTCATCTTTAATTACTCAACTAATAGTATAACAATAGTCTGTTTATGTGGTACAGGATATTCTACGTGTGCCGTACAACCTGATCGTATCTCACTACCTCTACCTTCATTCAAGCCATCATCAGTTTCTTGCCCTGACTATTGCAATGGGCTGCTTACAGTTCCTCTGCTTCCACAGTGGCTCCTCTATGGTCCACTCTTCACACAACAGCCAGAGTGATAAAGTAGACCATGATCTTTATTTGCTGAAAACTCTCCAGTGAATTTCTATTGTTCTTAGAACAAAATGCAAAATCCTATGTAGTTCCACAAGATACACTGTGTTCTAGACCTTACTATCTCTTTCACATTCACCCCTTCACTCCAGCATTCTTACTGTTTTTTAACTTATCACCAGCACAGGACTTTATACTGGCTTGCTTCACCACTTGAGAGGCTCATTCTGCAGATACTACATGGTTTGCAGAAAATAGCTGTGAACAAGTGACTATTCCACTTCAGTTGCCCTCCCCTCTATCACCTGAAACTTTATTTTGCTTCATAACATTCTCTTCTACCTTATATTACATTATCTGTTTATTCATACTCAAAACAGGGACCTTGTCTTTCTTGTATACCAATATAATCCCAGAGCCTAGAATACACTAGACTCATGGTAGATGCTCAATATTCATATATGTTTGTACAAATAATAGTCTTAGGTTGTGTATATGCCTGTGTGAGCACACATGATGTACACACACACACCCACACACACACACTCCTATCTGTTTACTCCCATGGTGGAGTCCTATACCCACATCTCAGCCTTTAGTTGCACATGTATGAACAAAAGCACCTTTTCAGAGTTAAGACCTCAGGTACTTACGATGATTGCTATCTCAAGTGCTACACAAACATATAATACTCTTGCTTCCAATGCTTGTTCATGTCAATATGTATATATAAGATTCCCTTTAATCCCCTAGAGGTATCAACGTGCTTCTTAGGATCAAAAGAGGAGATTAACTGGGAGCAGCAGTTAGCGTAATGGTTATGTCGCTGGACTCTCATGTAGTCAACCACAGTTCGAATCCTGGACCCAGCGGCTTAAACTCATGCCGGGCACGTCTGCATTGTACCCAAGATCCTGAGAGGAGAATGAAGAAGGGATTGCTATGTGGCCATCCCCCTGGGGTGGGGGGATGATTTCTCACTTTCTGTCTCTCTCTGTCTTTCTGGCGAGCACACACACACAGTATAACAAAAACCTCTCCAAAAAAAGAAGAGGGGATATGCTCACTATGCAGTTCAGAGGACTCATGCTTCCCATTCGAGCAAATGTACTTATGTGTACATCATAGCAACTATGCAGAACTTTCATGACATGCATGAGACAAAATCAATTCCTCAACTCAGATATTTATTGTAGTGATTGCTATTATTTGTATGAGGTAAGAGGAGACTATACCACTGCCAGAATTCTTGGGTCATTTTTTTAAAGGCTCTAAAGCCTATCTTTGGTACCAAAGGAGGAGGGCACTGCTGCATAGTAGCTGAGGCCACATGGGAGGCCCATGATTAGTTCCCAGCCCATCCTAAACATGCTGGGCACAGTTGCAAATGTCTGTGTCCTAGATAATTGGGAGCTGGGGTGGGGAGATTGCAACATCAGGATACCCTTTCAAAAACACCTCTCTCTCTCTTTCTCTCTCTCTCTCTCTCTCTCCTGCACTGCCTCTCATTTTAAAAATGGTTATAATAATGAGAATACTGTGCACATGTGGGGAGAAGGAGTGTATGGAACTCTGTATCTTCCTCTTAATTTTTCCATGAACACATAGCAAAACTGTTTATTTTAAAATTAAGTATTAAATTTGCCCCCCCCCAAGAAAAGAATAATAAAATGTAAGGGGAAAATTGCTCTAACTAGAAATACCAAACAAGGATGTCTCTGGAACTGATCATTGACAGACAATAACTTCTTGTTTCTCATACATAAAAATGCCAAAACCCAGAACACTTTTTACCATAACACTATAATAAAAACCAGTTTGGTAAACACAATAATAAACTCCTTTTATTACTGTGGTTTATTTAGTTTTATCCCAACTCATTCTAAAAACAAAAGAAGGAAAAAGAGAAAACATTCAAAGCACACATTAACTCTTCTACTGAGTCACCACTTCTCAGGCTGAGTTAGGTATGCCCTCTACCTAACTCATCTATTCGTTAGATCTAAGATCTAAGCATAAGATACTACTACATATGCAAATCTACTAAGAGGTCTATGTTTTAAAGCTCTCCAATGTATCATTACAGGAAAACATAGTACAAATTTTGTCAGCCGATACGATCCCCGGTTCAACAGCTGGATTCAACTTCCACCCATGCAGGAAAGGTAAGTATTTATTGCTTGTGTCTGAAACATTTGTGACTGCTTTACAGGAAGATGGGTTCTAGGTGCTTGTTATGTTATGAGATGCTAAACAAGCCACCTGAAGACATATAATGAAAAATACAAAACCTGACCTGCCCAATGTAGATAACCTGCCTTGTTAACTCGAAAAATAACCAAACCTGTCAATTATTGTCCTAATGTAAAAAGAACAGGCTGTGTGACTTGATTTTCCTTACTACATTGATTGATGTTTTTAAACAGCTAAAATTTTACTGACTACAATATTTTCAGTGATAATATTGGGTTGTCAGAAAAGTCATATTTTTTGTATGGTTTTCTTTTTTCTTTTAGCTATTTTTGCTATAAGACTGTGCACTCACTGGAGAGACAGAGATACAGAAAGTGAGAAATCAACCCCTGGGGGGATAGCCACACCACAATCCCTTCTCCTCCATTTTCCTCTCAGGATTTTGGGCACACATGCACACACGCCCGGTGTGAGTTTCAAACCACTGAGTCCAGGACTCGAACTGCAGTCAGCCATGCGGGAGTCCAGTAACATAGCCATTAAACCATCTGCTGGTCCCTCTATGTTTTTCTATACAAAAATGTGTCATGACTTTTCTAACAAGCCAATATATTTAAGTTCTAACATTGAAATATAAAACACCATTCTTACAATAGCATGTATTTTGTTACAGGTATTTTAATAACAGATATTTAATGATTCATTATGGAATACTAAGTTTCAATATTTAAATATCTTGTATTTAAATACTTAGTTCAGTTTAATATCTCAATAGTAAATTTCAAGTCTCACTAATTCAAGTTGTTTATATTTGCCTTTCCAAATGTCTTTCCTTCATTCATTCAAGGACAAATTGGTTGTTAGTTTTCTTTTTAAAAAGTCTTACAAAGTGTCGTCAAATTTCTTTGCATGCAGAGTTGTATCATTCAGGTGTGTCCTATCTGCCCAAGGAAAAGATGGCTGCAATATTTATACAAATTTTCTCTCTCTTGGCTATTATGAGGCATGACTCCATATCTTTATATATAGATGCAAATCTCCATGCTAGATTTTGAACACTTGGCTCTTTTAAATATATGGACATTTTCTTGAGCAAATTCTCCAATATAATAATGACAAAAAAATCTGTGACTTATTTCCTGTTCCATTGAGTTATTTGAAAAAAAATTGGTAACATTCTCTCCCTTTTTTATTTCCTACATGTCTCCTCACCTTAACAGCCTTTTTTATTAAACATTTAAGTAGAATACATTGATACTAAATTATTGGGTTATCAGAAAAGTCATAATGCATTATTGCATAGAAAAAAAGTGTCATGACTTTTCTGGCAATCCAATAGGACCTTAATTATAAATTCCAAGCAAAAAGGAAATTTTTTGACAATATCATTTACTCAATGTATGTTCCTGCAGCAAAACAGTATAGATCTATGCTCTAAAGAAACTTAACATCTAACTTTCTCTTCTATTCCATAAAAATATATTAAATTCTCTTTCAGGAAGCTAAAAGCTATACATTAAAAATGTTGAGGCAAGATATAGTTTAAGAACCATAGACACATTTAGAAATGTCTAGATCAAAGATACCTCAAGAAATAATTCTATGTCAGAATATCTTAACAGACTTCTCAATGAATTTCAAGCTTCCTGATATCTTGTTCCAGTCTACCCTCTTTCTCTGTTTTGGGGGTTGTCTTCTGGTGGTTGTTCTTGTAGCTGTATCACTTTGCTCTTTAATCAAAACCATTCAAAAATGTTTTATTTTAAAAATATATCAATACATGTTTGAAATGTCATCATCTCATCACCACAGTCCCCTTTGCTGGGGGCTGTACACCATGATAATTAACCTTCACGCCTACAGCTTGGGAGGCATAACTCACGTCGCGGTCAATTATCTCACTGTAGAGCCCCTAAGGATGGAAAGTATTGCTGCAAAACCTAATTAGTAATTTTTTTTAAAATGTGTATTGTTTACTTGATAGTCTATAATGACTTCCTCTGAGGCACGATGGCCTATCATGGCAGGGTCCTACTTAGACAATTTTTAGCAGCTCATTGACCTGATAGAAAGACCTGCCATGGTCTGTCGGCGCCCGGCAGCCACCGTTGACAGGATGGACTGTTTAACGTTTCTTTCTAAGTCATTATGGTATATCATGTCAAGTCCCTAGTAAAAGAAGTGGGGTTTTTTTTGTTTTGTTTTTTGGTTTTGTTTTTTTTTTTTTTTTTTAGATTTCGAGCAATCAACTCGATAGACCAAATAAAGAGCTCCTTACAGAGCTGAGTGAGAAAAGGCAGATCTCACAAATGCCTAGTCAATCTTCTATCTCATCTCTCCTAGGGCTTGGGTGACTCAGACAGCAATCCAGAACTTAAAATTGAAATTGTTCTGCATTGCCAGACTTCCATTCAAAATAGGAAGTCCTGTCAGTTACAGTGTGGATTAACTGGTTATTAAAAGAAGAAGAAATTCATGAGACACTCTTCAGAAGTTTCTTGAAACATTTAATGGAGTTAATATCACATTGTATAGATCATGAATCAAACTAGAAGTTTCTCACCTATCCCTTTACAATATGTTGCTACCCAACTGCTGAGTAATGATTAGGCAGAAAATCACCAAAACGACAGAGAATAATAACATGTAAAGTCCTCTCTCAGTAGCTCACTCTTACAGAGTCTGCTGGACAGAATCTTCAGTTACCTCACTTAGTCACAGCTTCCAAAGGATAAGAAAAGTGCAGAAGACGCCCCAGGTTAGAGTGAAATGGGCATGTAGCCTCCAGGCTTCCATGGGCCAGCTCATCAATTCCATGTCTTTCAGCTATTAATTTCCTGACAGAAATGGTTAGGCAAAAATATAAATTTAATGCAGTGTTGGTGAACTGTTTGGGTCTCAGATTTAGGTTTTGATTCTTCAATGAATAGAATACAAAACTGGATACTTGGATCAATAAAAATGCTTTGATAACTTGGCGTTTTTTTCAATAACTAGATATTTTAAGTATTATTTTTATGGAGCATTTACCCCCCCCTTGCTAGTCTAAAAAACATTATATAAAAGGAAAATGCAGTCTAGAGAATAACAATAACAAGGCCTTGGTTTCACAGCGTAAATAAAAGGCTAAAAATTAATTCATCTAAAGTGTTTCCAAATTTAAATATTTGGTTTCAAGCAGTATTACAAAAAATAAATGAGAGGCAACATTCTTTTGAAAAATCTGTTGTTTTTAACCCAATGTGAAAGGTTAAAAAAAAAAAAAAGAAAAAAGAAAGAAAAAGAAATCAAGGTAGTTGTTGGGGGGGAGCTGCATAGTGGCTAAGCAGTGAAATAATGGCACTCAGTAAGGCTGACCCATATGGGAAGGTTCTAGGTTCACATCCAGAGACCTTCCTGAATATGCTAAGTACATGCATGCCCATGATCCAAGGCTGGCTGATGGTGGAGAGTTGAGTGTGGAGTTAGGACCTGTTGAGGATGCTGTCTCACATTTTTTGTCACTCTCTGTCTCTCATTCATAAAAGAATTCAAAAAAAAAATTTAAAAATCAAGATGGGATAGGGTATAATAATTCAGTCTTGTGAGTTAGGACATAAACTTACCACCATGAAAGTCAGAAAGGACTTGTAAAGATGTGCAAATAAGCAAGGTTCAAAGCATATTTATAGAAGTTAATATCAATCTTTTTTAGATTTAGGCTGAAATGTTGAGCATTGTCTCTGATGGTGGTGGAAGGGGAGTTGGAGAGAGAGAGAAACAATTTGAAATACAAACAATCTAATACTATTAAGGAATCTTTAATAATTTTGAATTTACTTTTCTAAAAAAAAATAATAATAAAATAGCCTAAATCAGGTATGCTCTTTACATGGAAAGGAGGAGCAGGGAGCATTCCCGAGAGAGACCTCATCTGGTAAGATATTAGCCTCGAGCACGTGTCAGCAGCTGCTGACACACCCTCAACAATCCTGTGACTATCACTCATTTCAGGAACTCTCACTTTGAACATACGTGGGAATGAGTCAAAGTCTCCGAATCTTCACTATTGGAATTTTTACATGAAAATACACATTGAGTCAGAAATTGAAATCTACTGATTTCTCCCCATTTAGATCCTAACAGTGACACTGTGTGGATAAAGCCAGGAGTACACAGTGAGCATCGCATGAAGAAGAATGCCTTGGCTGAAAGAGAGAGCAAGCTCTAACGGGCTGCCTCAGTGTGTCAGGAAGGCAGGAACCAGACCAGAAAGAGCGAGGAAATTGAAATTTAGAGATCAAGGGAATTCGCACTATGGAAGATCTTTCTCTTATTCCTCACAGTCTAAACTCAATTAAATAGGGGTTTTTCATAGTGCCATGACTGATTGACGTTTTCTTTTTTAGGCTAACATGGCATAGAACTCGCTGGTACCAGTACCTCCTTACAAATTACCTCTTCAGATTATTTAAAGATGGCCCATTACTATAATAAATAAATGTATCATATCAGATGTCTTAAAAGCTATTATAGAATCAATGACACAAAAAATATGTGTGTTATTTTAGGACTTTTTTAAAGATGTGTAAATCTTTTCAATGAACTATTTTAACTTGAAAAGATAAAAATCACTAATAAATAACTTTGACCCATAGTAGTCAATGAAAGAGTAATTAAAATCTGGTTAGGGAAATAAAAAGAACCAATGGTTTACCTGTGCACACTTAATTTTGTAACCATTTTTAAGCCTAGTTTCGTATCCAATGAGTTTTTTCCCTCCCCATACTAAGAAATTTCAATTTTTTATTTCAAATCAGAGATTCCTTTGATGATCCAATTAAAAGTTGTGAAACATCTTCTTCAGAAAATAAACATGTGCAAAGATTATATATGTATGTATACATATGTGTATATACACAAACATTTTATTATAATTTCAGCAATTCATGGGCCCCTCCAAAGACACCGACTCACTTTAATACTCTTTATAAAATTGGAATTACCTTCTGTTTATTTTACTTTCTACTTTTATACCTCCATTTTTTTTATTAGTATTATTATTGCTCTTCTTCATCCTTCTGATATTTCCATAGCATCTATTTCATTCAAAAAAATCAAGGAAATCTAGGGGGAAAAAGACATTGTCAAAAATATTACTCTCAAAATATCAGTGATCACTATCAGGATAATTTCAATACTATAATAAAAAATCACCATCTATAGCAAACACTGTATTTATCTGGTAATAAGTCATCTAAAGAAACATTAAAGAATTTAGTTATCACTAAAATATTATTAGGAAAAGTTCACATGCAAACATCTTAATGGCCAATTTTTTAAGCTTTTTATCCAGGTAATATTAATTGACACTTCCTGAACATGACTAAAATGTTGGACACAGTCACTTATTTTTATTATTACTATTAGCAGTACTACTAGTAGCTTCTACCAGTACTATTAGCACCGTTTCCCATATTTGAGAATAACCTTGTGAGTGAGGTACCATTATCATCCCCAAAACACAGATGAGTGAGGCTAAGAAGGATTAAGTAGCATGTTGAAGGTCTCACTCCTGGTAAATCACATATATAGACAGTCTGATTCTAGAAACGAAGCTGTTAACCAGGAGACTGACTCCCAGATAAGTAGACACTACATAAACACAGCCTGGAAAGTCCCCCAACAACATAGGTTTACCAGATAAATACATCCAGCACTCCTCATCTTGAAATCCATATTTCACAAGAATCTGGCATCAATCTTTTTTTTTTTTTTTATGCTAGAGAGTACACATGCGTGCACACAAGGGAAAGAAAGAAGAGTCCCCTCAACAGGTATTCGTCATGCCATGATCCCTTTTCTCCAGCCCTCCAGGTCCTCAGGATCTCAGGTGCCCAAGTGCACCCTTGGCATCTTTTCAGGCCAACCTGGGGATCTGAATGCATATGGCTTCAAGCCTTACAGGCCACTTGCATTACCACTGCACCACTGTAACTGGGCCTTGACATCAATTTTTATGCCATTTAAATCATTAATTTATCAAATATAAATCATGTTCTCTGAGGAGCACGGCAATTAACAATTACATTTACGTATTATCCTTGTGATATATGTTATTCCAGTAGCGTCATTGACAAAGAAGCAAAGGATCAAGGACGTGCTTAAGGTCAACCTACTCATCCTAACTCCCAATTTCCGAGTCCTCTTGGAAGCTCTATTTGCCCTCAGCTCCCACTTTTTATTAGTTACCAAGTCTTACTTCTTCTTCCTTGAAAATATCTTTTGCATCATCATGCTTTTCCATTTCTTCTACGAAAACACAAATTCGGGTCTCAATATCTCATTCCTAAATTATGGTTTACCTTAGAGTTTGTCTCCCTCTCTCCAGTTCTTTTAACACAGCTTGTGTTGATAGTATAGGAGGATAATATAAATCAGTAGACTTTCTTGAAAAGGGACTAAAAATACCCTAAACCCTTGTAAGAATAAACACCTAAAGCTACTCAGAGAAACCACCTTTAATTGGTTATATGTAAAAGCAAAACTTGAACCTTATATGAAGTTCACAAAAGTTATTCTATTTGCAGTAGTACTAGGAGGCAAAAAGAAAAAATGATAATTGAAGAAAAATTTTGATGATGTAGTTCTCTTATAAATTGGGAACAATGACCCTTGAAGGACCATAAAGAAAGTGAATGTCAAGATAATTTATTATTGTTACATTATCTACCTCATTTTTCACTTTGTCTTACTGAGCTATGATATCCTTACAAGGTACCAAATATCCCAAACATTAATGAACACTCTTAACGGTGTATAAAACGGAAGATAATAAGAGCTGAAACAAAGAGTTGGTGAATTTATCCTCTACTGTTACTTTAACATCAAAAGTAAGGCATTGTTTATTACTGTGTAAAATCTTGACTGTAGAAAGCATATGTGCAACTTTTAAAGGTTTGCTGCCCTTTGTGAATCAGGATGTACCCCCTTTCCCTGGCTAATGACGTGGTCCTTACCTTATTTCTAAAGGTAATATTTCACAGCTCCTTTTGTGACTTACTGTGGTGGTTGTTTTTACTGTAGAAGAGCCAGTTTCTACGCATGTCGGTTGGACAAACATTTATACGTTATTGGTGGGAGGAACGAAACCGGCTACTTGTCCAGCGTGGAATGCTATAACCTTGAAACAAACGAATGGCGCTACGTGTCTTCTTTGCCACAGCCTCTGGCCGCTCACGCAGGAGCAGTGCACAATGGGAAAATATACATTTCAGGCAAGTCACTCCTCCACTTTCTGCTCCAAAGTTCCATTCCAAGGCACTTTCTTGACTTGTATGTATATGTTTAAATCACAGGAGGGGTACACAATGGAGAATATGTCCCATGGCTATATTGCTATGACCCTGTGATGGATGTCTGGGCTCGAAAACAAGATATGAACACAAAACGTGCAATCCACACATTGGCTGTGATGAATGATCGCTTGTATGCAATTGGAGGAAATCACTTAAAAGGTCTTCTTTTTTTAATCACAATAACATTAGCATCTCATGTTTCTTGCTATGGGGGTTTCTCGTTAGATAATCATAGTTAACCAAGTAAAAAACATGTTGACCAAATAAAATCTTCCCTGTGTAAATTAGCAGTGTCCTTGAGCAAGCATTTATTTTGGCTTTTCTGCAGATCGGATTATTTTTTTAAGTTACAATACACATTAAAGACATGAGTAATGTCTACGGAAAATAAAAAAAAAAAGCATTAGTAACTGAAAAGCACAATTTGTCTTATCAGTGAATTCAGTGAAATAAATGATTGCTTATCATCAAAGTCGTAGTAATGAACATTTTTTTCCCAGAAAAATTGTTTTTGGCTATAATCATAAAAATCTTTAGTCGGAGCCACACAAAGCTAATATGTGATTTTTCTTAAAAAAATAGTAAATTTTTATGTCTAAATTTAAACTTAAGAATTGAATATCAAATTATTTATGATTCTCAAATTCTATTGCTTTCTTTAATAATAATAATAAAACATGTTGAAGCATAACATGTTCAGAGCTATGTTTTGGCTTTTTTTTGGGGGGGGAGAGGTTTTTGCTATAGGATGCATGTGCTCGCCAGACAGACAGACAGAAAGAGAGAGAGAGAGAGAGACAGAAAGCAAGAAACCACCCCCCCATGGGGGATAGCCATGCGGCAATCCCTTCTCCTCCATTCTCCTCTCAGGATCTTGGGCATGCACGCACATGCGTCCATCGTGAGTTTTAAGCCACCAGGTCTGGGATGTGAACTGCAGTGGTCTACATGGGAGTCCAGCAACATAGCCATTACGCCAACTGCTGGTCCCTGTTTTGGCTTTTTAATTCCCCAGATGTGTATATGTGCATGTGTAGTTAGATACCTTCCTGGCTAACCTAATGTCCATATATGTGTGCTACATGTGCATGTGTAAAACACTGAAATTGACAGAAAAGCAGAGAGACCTGTTGTTGAAAAGCATCATTGAATGCTCTGGGCTTCAGTTTCCTCATCTGAAAATGAAGAAACTGACCTAGTTGACCTCTGATATGATCTAGTTGAGTTCTGACATTCCATGATCCTTGGAAGAACTCAATAGGAAATGGGTCATCTGCATATCATTGATAAAGCCCTGGGACTAGCAGTTAGCATAATGGCTATGTCACTGAACTCCCATGTAGTCGACCGCAGTTCAAGCCCCAGACCCAGTGGCTTAAACTAATGCCAGGCGTGTGTGGGTGTATGCCCAAGATCCGGAGAGGAGAATGGAGCAGAAGGGATTGTGGTGTGGCCATCTTCCCTGGGGGGTGATTTCTCACTTCCTGTCTCTCTGTCTCTCTCTGTTTTTCTGGCAAATGCATGCGCCCTATAGCAAAAAAAAAAAAAAAAAACTCTCCCCCCCCAAAAAAAAGATAAAGCCCCAAAATATGTTTATTTCACAATATTATATACATCTGTAAAAATGGGCTAAACATAGAAAATGTTTTCTATTTTCTCTATCACATATGACTTTATCCCTAAATGAAACAGAGACATCACAGTGTAATTCTCATGTAGGTAGTTCCAAGTTCATGTTCAGTCAGAAATGCTAATATCCTGGCATATGTCTGGCCTTATCTTAGTGCTCTCTCAAATAGAAAAGAGTACTTCTATGTCCCTTTTTATTCTTCCTCTCTTTCACTGGTGCTCCTTCATTTTAATGCATATACCATTCCTTTCCCTCAGCCTGTTTTGTATGAGGGAACTTCAAAATGTTTGTGGAAAAGTGAAATTAAGGGTTCTTTGGTGCAAAAAAAATTGGAAATCTATGCATAGTTTTTTCATAATATGCATTTTCCATGAGGAAAAGTTAATATGTCTTCAAAGACCCCTTCATATTAACTTTATAGCTTTCTACATTAAAATCTGACTTCTCCTTTCTTTTGCACAAAAATACTGCCTATATGTTTTAGGGATATTTAAAGTCATACTTGGACAGAAAGGCTCAACAACGTAATGAGAAATAGCACACACATATGGACATTAGGTTAGCCAGGAAGGTATCTCGTGAAGCAAAGGTCTGAACTGTACATCGAAGCCTAGGTTCAGATCCTATTGATGCACTTGCTACTCACGTGGTCTTACTCAGGACACTCAACCTCACATCTGTGATAGAGCGAATTCCTTGATGGTGTTCATGGAGATTATAGTCAACATCTATAATATATACACTTGGCACAGAGAAGGCATGCATAGCCTCAACTGAAGCCCATGGAACTTCAGCACCTGGAACTTTCCCAAGCTCCCATTCTAAGTGTGTATGATTAAAAAATTATCATCAATAATCTTAGTGCTAGAGCAAAAGAACATACAACAGAGTTGCCAGGAGCTCTTTTGTTGTCATTGCTCTTTTGAAACCACATCTATGTGATTTATCTTACATAAGAAGTTAGTGGCCTGAAATAACCCATCTACCCCTTCCCGAAAATTGCACTACTCTTCTACTTGTCTTCTCAATTATTTTGAAGAGTCTAGTATGTTGGTTAATTATATGCACTATAATTATCAGCTAGCAAATATCCAGAGCATGCATTTAACTAAAGAAGGAGATCATTTGGTCTGCTCAGTGACCATGAAGCTCACACTAGGAGTTTTTGTTTGTTTGTTTGTTTTTTTAACCTCCTAAATTAAAGGCAAGACTTCAGTTGAGTCCAAAAAACTGAGTTGTTTTTGGCTAGATCCAGTTACTGCTCCAACCTCCATGAAGCCTTGAGAAGTAAAAGGGAAGCTCTTCACTGGAAGGAACTCAGTCCCCTATTCAAAACCTTGATCCTCAGTTATTATTGGAAACTACTCACATTATCAAAGCTATTTATAAACATAGACTGTAAAAAAGTTAAAAGATGCTGAGCAACACATTTTTAATTCATTAAAACATGTTGAGAAAGTAAATATTTATTTATAGAAAGAAATATATGAAGTTTTGTCTACAAGAGTCTGAATTTGAAAGCCTTTTTTTCTGGGTTCAAATCTCTGCCTTTATACCTACTGGCTGGTGACTCCAGTCCATGAGCTCTCTTATTTATAAAATGCAAATGATGATGGTAGCTGTCCCATAGAGTTATGGAGGACTTTATTGAGTTCATTTAAATAAAGCATGCAGAAACTAGCACAATGTAAGCAGTCTGTATAAGGCTTGCTTTAACTATTATTATTTTCAGTCTAAAAATAAGGTTTTAATAGACCATTCTTAATAAGATCTCCCCATGTAATCACCATTATTGATGACATCTGGTCAGGCACTCGTGCTTTGAATTAATCCAAAACCTCTAGTTTTTGTTGTTGTTTTGGTGATTCTAACTAGTAGCCCAATTTCACCAGTGACTTTATGTATTTGTGCTTTCAAAGACATAATTATCTACTTTTTGGCTTGCAACTGTTTTTTGTTTTATTTTGTTTTGTGTGAAAATAAGAGCCCTAGCCTTACATTCGGACCTTGAGAGTTTACTCACCTGTGATTTCATTTTGCTACGTCCTTTAGGTTTTTCCCACCTTGATGTAATGCTTGTGGAATGCTATGACCCAAAAGGTGACCAGTGGAATATTCTCCAAACTCCTATTTTGGAGGGACGAAGTGGCCCTGGCTGTGCAGTGCTAGATGACAGCATTTACCTTGTGGGAGGCTACAGCTGGAGTATGGTACGTGTGACCTCATTCTCCTCCTGTTCATTTATGCTTGCTTTTCCTCTTTCTTTCTAAATGTGTTATCATGCACACACAGACCTTTTAAGAGTACCATGCTTATCTGCACTCGGTAAGTTACTTAAATATTTCAATAGAATCAGTGTGAGTGTTGTCAAGATGGCTTCATATGTGACTAACTGCATCACAAAATGCAGTAGGTCTCTGGTTTTCTCCTATCCTCGTATTTTTGTGATTCTGGCTTTCCAACTAAAATTCGTACTGAAGTGGTTTATAAATATCCTGCTG